AATTTTTGCCTAGATACTTTAATGTAATTTAAATAGATTATTAGTTGTCAGGAACTAATATAAATTTTGTTTACGATTTAGTTACTTTAAGTACTCAGATTGAAGAAACTAATTTAACCCCATGACTGAGCAGCTTTAAGCGTCAAGAGAAGACCACTAAAAAGTCCCCAATGCCCTTTGCACTATCTTGGCAATCTTGAATTACTACAACTTAATTACAAATATCAAGGCACGAAATTGAGCCCCCTCCCCCACCTTCTTTAAATAGCACAGCTGGTGGAGAGCCTTCAGGAAAAGCCCATCTACACTTGCTCAGGTACCACGGTCTCTCTCTTAAGCAGTTCTCTCTCCCAGGGGCTGGCTAGGTAGGAAATGTTTTTCTCACTTTAAATCCCGTAAAATAACTACCAAACAAACACCTGTTGTGCACAAGGCAGGGCATATATTAAAAACTGCTCTCAAGGGATTTCAAAAAGAAAAACAAGCCTTGCAGAGACATCCACAGCTAATTTGGTCCATAGGTCTTATGACTGGGTACAAGAGCATGAGGGAAAGCAGACAGCTCCTGGCACAACCCTCTCCTGAATGGGAACTGGCTTCTAAATGCAACCCGAAAAATGCCTTAACACCAACTGACTGTAATTAATAAGAATAATTTATTAAAGAAACAAAGAACACTAATTGTCTCTCCCGACTGTCATGCACTTCACCCCACTGTACTTCCTCTTTCCGGAATACCAGCCTTCTAGCCATAATTGTAAGAATATTATCTATAGGATGAAAAACCAAAGCACTTCTTGAAATCAAACATTCCTTACAACATTTATTTTTAGGTTGGCGACACCAGCCAAATACGCTTAATTTCCATTAACCACATCATCACATGCACATTGAAATAAACTATGTATGTCCCAAGGGGGGGGGGTTAAGAAAAAAAAAAAAACTGTCATGCATAAGATACCCCATATTTGGCCAGGTTTTCCCGTTTCAGGAATTTGTTTCATCTCATGGCCTGCCGATGTCCCAGCTTTTGACACCCCTAACCTTAATTCATCTGAGTACCATGGAAGAGAAGTATTTTTAAAAATCGGTTTAAGATGGCTCCTTGGACAGCATGCATTATGGCAAAGTGGCCTAAAGACCAGTGTAAGTAGTCACGAGAAAGATCATTTAGGAAATACACAGGCCCAAATGCAAACTTACGTGGCTTGCTGGCTTGATTCACAAATTCAGTATTTGATCACCTGGTGGGATTACTACCATCAACCAAAGGAAAAAAAAAAATCCCCTGCAAATAGTAAAAGTATATGTTGGCTCATGTCTATTCAGCAGATGCCTCTCATAAGGTTATTTTCTTTAGAAAACAAACCTCTACTTGCTTGAGACCTTTATACACATTAGGTCCAAAAAAACATAGGAAAAAAAAAGGCTGGCTTAGCAAAAAAATGGCATTTACTATGACTGAATTCTATAAAAGGAGGAGGACACCTAACAGGATAAGAAAGGAAAAGAAAGAGCCCTTAGCAAAAACATTTTTTTTGAAAAACAAAAATGCCACCTGTGCAAATCTAGCTATGCTCTCAAAACCCTTTCTCAGCCCCACAGAAATAGCTCAGGCTCAATGCCTTGAAGTTGCAATTAAATTGTAGTAATTTAAGATTATCAGGAGAGCAAAGGGCAGTGGGAGCTCTTTGGAGGGCTTCCCTCCCCTCTTAATGCTCTTCAGTCAGGGGTTAAATGAGTTTCTTTAATGTAAGTACCTTAAAGTAACTGAATCATAAACAAAATTTATACTATTTTCTGACAGCCTGCAATCTATTTAAATTTTATTAACGTGTGCCTAAAATTATTTTTAAAAGACAGAACTCCTGTAATGCCCTGTAAATATTCCTGGCATACTCACTGAAATGTAATCGGTATGAGAACAACTAACATTGTCTGAATACACATACTTTTTTGTGATGTGACGTCTTACAAGATAACATTTCAAAATTGAGTTTTAGTCTTAAGTAAAACATGAAAACTAAATAAACAGCACAATAAGATTGGCTGCAAAGAGGAAGCTACGTTCAAAAGAAGTTGTCACATCTGCTATATTCTCCCTTCACTTTCTTAATGTGGGCACTGGACGTGCTGAAGTATATATATAATTGTTTAGGAAATATCACAATCCTTTTGTTAATTTAAACGACTGCTGAAAACAGACATATCCTTCAATAGAGCCTAAGAATGCAAATATACAAGGCCAGGGGTAGAGTCTTAGGAGAAGCAAGGAAAAACTTACTAACAGAAAACCATACCTCAGCTCAATATTAACCCAGTCAACTTTTGTTATTGTTGGTACAAATGATTTAACGAGAAAATATTTATAGCTTTTTCAAAAACATTACATATTGCACAGAATTGCCTAATAGCATCCATGTGTATGTTTAACTCGCATTGTTTAATTATACAATAAAAGATATATCCAATAAAAGCTACACACTTTGAAACATGTTGGGCACTATGGTTATGAAACTCTGACATAAAAAAACAAAAAGTGCTTACTATGTGATCGACATGGTAATTAAAAATGCAATCCTTAAATAACAATCATTTTTATTCTTTATGTGTTTACTTGTCCTATTTCCTACTTTGTTCTACTTAATTAAAAATGACATTTAATTTGAGGATAGTTTATAGCAAAAAAGAAAAAATAAGTGTTACAGTTTTTACTCCAGCCTTTAAATATAAATACAAAATCTCACAGACCTCTCCAGCAATATAACCCCCTTAATTTGAGACAGTTAATTTGAATAGTTGATGTTGCTTTCATTATACTTTGATAAACCTGTGAAAACAAAATGCTAAAGTAATTGCTGTTACTACTCCCTTTAAAAATGTAAAGCAGTTAAATTTTCCTAGACAACAAGCAAGGACAAGTTACAGAGAACTTGAATAAAAGTAGCAACGTGGTCATATTGAATGTCAATCTAAAAAAAGAGGTTATGTCTAATCTGGAGAATGCTCCCTCTCGCCTTTTTAAATTCCAAGAGTGGGCTGACACAAAACTTCATCACCAGGGATTTTTTTTTTTTTTTTTTTTTTTCTTTTTGAGCTTCACATCAGATTTAAACCCTCACATACAAAACCTTGGCTTTCCTGACAAGGCAGATCTTCTAAACTTGATGTGAGAAAACGTTACCTAACTCTAGTGTAGGAGTCTAATGTTGGTAAAAAGAATTCCACTCCACAGTTCTGGGTAGCAAGGCAGCCTCTGGAAGACTTAATATTCATTCCATACCTTTTTGCGCGCACGCTCTTCATAAACCAGACTGTATGAGGAAAAATAACTTATTTAGCAACTCAACATCCATAAGGAACTCAAATGCTGACTAGAGAGAGGCCGAGTATTTCCTGAGCCTTAGCATGCACAACAAAGATCAGCATTTGCAATGGCCCATTTCTGCATTAGTGAATATCTAGCTTTGCTGCTTGGTCGAATAGTCCAGGGTTCTCCATGTAGAGCTCCTGACAACAACCCAGCTGCAGTTCTGTTTGATCTCTTCTGCTTCCTTAATTTGGGTTGTCAAGGTTCAGCAGTTGGAGGCTGTTTACTTTACTTTTCCAAAAAAAAAAAAAAACCTGATTTCTTTTTCTCTCTCTCATACAATGACTAATCCAAAGTGTAAGGGGGGGAAAAGGCAACCAGTGTGGTAAGATGCTAAACCTTTTTTACCCCCTTTGCAGTGAGATTTTAGCTGACATCTTCTGAATGGTAACTAGTTGAGTTCCTTTTTATATTTTTAATGCTCTTTAATTATGAGATGTTTCAAGTAGAAAAGTCTGGGGGGGGGAACCATTCCAAATCTCTGAAGCTGTAAGCTCAATTTTCTTTTCCTGGACTGAAAGAGATGGGTATTTCCACTTTGAGAATCAAAACTCCAGTGGAATTCTAAAAAAGATTTGATACATTTCTCTCTGGAACTGAAAATAACAGCAACTCCTCTGTCTCAATTATGCAGGCTAACCCTGAGTAGAAAACACCTGAACTCCGACCACTTCTCTTCAAATTCTACTTAAGACATCTCCCCCCAAACTGATGATCACTATGGAAAAACGAAGAAAAGAAGATAGAAGGTAAAAATTTGCAGAGATTCTTCAATATATTTTCAGCAGTAGAAAAAATCCCTTAAATATCCTTGAGGTTTTTCAATTCAGCTATTGTGCAAGCCCTAAATCCTAAAGCCTACGGACAACCAAAGGTAAAGTGTAGATGGTTTCAAGGCATAGCCTCCTTTTAAAAGGAATACAGAATGCCCTTCCAGCATTCCCGTTTAAAAAGCAGTAACAAAAAAGGAAATCCAAACTTACAAAATACCTGTGACCGGACAGGAGAGCAACACCAGCCCCTTATAAGTGGGCTGGAGAAGCTTAAATGCAACCAAATGAAATGTTTATATTAATTTCATTATTCTGCCCAAGCCTCAGCAATGAGGGCTGGGTGGGGGGTGGTGGTGGTGGTGGAGGTTTGCTGGGGGCGGGGTGTTGGGAAGAGGAAGAAATAAGTTTCATTTCGGGTTTTCTGGTCGAGCAAAAGGAAAATAAATTAAAACCAATGCGTAGGATGAGCCCAGACTAAATCAATACACTTTGTAATCAGCCCGGCAAGGGTATTTGGACACAATGACTTGGAAATAATTAATAGTTATAAGAGGGGAGTGGGGTGAGAAGGGGGGGAGAGATGTCACCATATTTTATCGGAGCACTTTACACTCCACGCTAAACTTTGATCTCCAGATTCTCGGATTTAGGAAAGGGGAGAAAAAAAGGGGATAAAGTCCAGTATTTCGAAGCACCTACTAGCTTGAGGATGGGCACAATCCTGGCTCCGGGAGCCTCATCCCTACGCTCGCGCCGCCCAGGCTGGCGCTTTGAGCAGAGAGCCCCCCGGGGGCTCTAGGGTATCGGTTGCCCCCGCCCGCGTTCACGCCCCGGCACCCGCGTCCGCCTCGACTTACCCGCAGAGTCCGGGGAGGGAGTGGGAGCGCCGCCTTCACGCCCGCGGAGGAGGCGCCGGCAGCACCATGGTCCCCCGCGCCGCTGCCGCTGCCCCTTGCCCGTTTGCTCGCCGCGCGCTCTCTTCCTCTTGCAAACTTTCGGGTTCTGCGGTCGACAAGAAACCAGGGCGACCCTCAGCAAGTCTTCCCGGCTCAGGTTGGGGGGAACTGAGGGGGGGTGGGATAAGTGATTAGGCTGGGGGGCCAAGACCAAGAGGGCGGCGGACTAGGAGGACCCGCGAGTGCGGGTGGACGGAAAGGAGGATGTGGCTTAGGGAATCCCTGCAAGGATCCCGAGACCGGGAAATCGGCCGGAGCCAAAGTCTCAGCACCTTCCCCAGGATCTTACAAAGTTGCAACAACAAAAAAGGAGGGGGGAGGAAGGGGGAAGGGGGTGGGAAAGGGATACGATCGCAGGCGCAAGGTTTGAAGTTACAACTGTTTATTTAGTCCTTATTCTCACAGGGGCGGGAGCTGCGCGGGAAGGCGGGGGGGGGGGGTGCTGCAGGCTACGATTTCGAAGCAAACACTGGGGAGGGGGCATGCGACTTTGTTTCTGGGTGCGGAGCTCTCCGGCGCCCGCGTGTGTCACCGCCAGTCTCCGGGGACCGAGGCGGAGCTCACAACAGGTGGGGAGGGGGACTCGCCCAGGGCAAAAAAGGAGAAGGAATCAAAGTTTCCGAGAGGCGGTATGGGGGGAGGGGGGCCGAGAGGCGGCGGAGAAGGGAGGCGGAGGCAGCGAATGACCGCGACCCCGAGGCAACTGGCAAACTCTCAGCTCCCGGCGCTGCTGCCGCCGCCGCCGTCCCCACCCGAAGCGCACGCAGTCCCGGCTGCCGGCCCAGCTGAGTCCTCCGCGGGATGGGGATGGAGCGCGGGGAGCTCGGGAGGAAGGTGGCGTGCTGGCCAGGGATGGAGAGCCATCGGCCGCCGGGACAGGGCCACAGAGACGCGGCGGCTCCCGCGCGTCTCAGGAGAGATCCAGGCTTGGGAAACCTCTCCGGTACCCCCCAAGCTTCGAAGGAGAGGAAACCCCGAAAGTGCGTGTGGTGGAGGGGAGGAGACCCGACGCGGCGATTCCCCGCAGCGCACCCGGTTCCCACTCCCACCCGCGGAGCTGGCCACGTATGTCGCGGGCCGGTCCGCGGCGAGGCTGGGTTCCCGGGGTCCAGCGCGCGTGAGGGTGCGTGTCTAGCTGGGGTGCGCGAGTGTGTGTCCGAGTTTTCTGTGCTCCGGGGGCGGCGGTGGGCTGTTCCCGTCGCTGGGTTCGGGGCCAGGCGCGTGTGGCACTGGGGCTGTCTCGATGCGCGGGGCCCAGGATGCGGGCTTCCCATCATTACAAACCAGGGGCATCAAGGGGCACACACTCTCGGAGAGCGAAGGGAAAAAGTTTGCTCCGAGTCCAAACTTCAGGCTCCCGAGGCTCCCGGCGCGCGCCCCCTCCCGCCGCAGACTCGACCCCGGCCCCGCGCCGGCCCCGCTTCTCTGCCGGCACCCCGACGCCCGACACCGAAAGTTGAGCCAGGCGGCCTGGGCTTATTGATTTCTCTCCCCGCGGCGATCGCCCAGAGCGCAGAGCCAGGAGTGAAGGGGCCGAGGGGAAGACGATTTCGCCTCTCGCCTGACGCCGCCGCCGCCCCCCCCTTCATTTGACTTATGGAAATGGACCCAAGCTTGCGGGCGCCGCCACCGCCGGCGGCCCCCCCAACCCCCGCGCCGGCCCCAACCCCCACCCCACCCCAGAGCCTGGGCCCGGGCCGGGGGAGAGAGGCGAGAGGGGAGGGCGGGGGGAGGGGGGGAGATGCACGTGGAGCCTGGAGGTGGAAAGTAGTTTTTTTTTTTTTTTTTTTTTTTTTTTCTTTTTTTTTTTTTTTTTTTTTTTTTTGTGCTGGTTGTTGTTGTTGTTTAAAGTGGCGGAAACAAGGCAGGAGGCAGCTTGGGAAAAAGTGGAGCAGAAATGGAAAAATACAAACTCACCCGCTGCAAATGGTCTCTCGGTGCAAACTAAGGTGTTTTCGGGCCTTTCCCCCGCGCGCGCCCACTCCCGCCCGCGCGCGCACCCCCGCGCACACACTCACTCGCGCACACACGCGCGCACACACGCACTCCCGGACGAGGGCCGGGCCGCCGCGAGTACAGCGTGCAACCGCCACACAATAAATAACAATAGATTCCTCCGCTCCGGACTAGCTTCCCGGAGCCCAGCCAGCGCCACTGGCGGCGGCGGCGGCGGCGGCAGAGGCGCGGGGAGCGCCGGACTGGGGGCGCTCCCCAGCCGGCCTCCCGGCCTCTTGCCAGGGCCCCTTCTCCGCCTCACGCGCCCCCAAGGCCTCGCGGCACCCCCAGAGCGCGAGCCGCTGCGCCCCCTCCCTGGGCCACACGGGTACTGGCGCCCACCCGGCTCCCCCCGGCCTCCCGGAACAAATAAATAAATAAGGCGCGCGAGAGAGGCCAACACGTCGCGGAGGGAGATGTTGTTATTTTTTGCTGTTGTGCGTCCCTGACGTCACATCCACCTGCTGGGTAAACAACAAGGCTCGCAGCAAAAAAAAAAAAAAAAAAAAAATCGCAATTGCCAAGCTGGGGGGGAGGGGGCAGCCTGGACGGAGGGGGGGGCGGTTCTCGGGAGATGGGAGTGAGGGGCGTCCAGACTGGATGGGGAAGGAGAGAGGGAGGCAGAGCCCTGCAGACTAGAGAGAGGAAGGGAACACCAGAGCAGTCCCTGGCAAAAGAGGGATCTGGCAAGAAAGACCTGGAAAAATAAGGGGCATGGGGGAGGGGAGGATTCCTCAGAAGATGGGGAAATGGGGGGCCCATTCAGCCACCGGAAAAAAAGGAGAGGGAGAGTGTTAACAACTAGGGACGAAGATAGGAATGCGATGGCTATTTGCTTGGTTTCTGAGCTAAAAATACAGAAGGAAAGAGAGAGGGTAGGCAAGGATGTGAGTTTCCTCCAGTTAAAAGTGAAAGTGTTTTGCCATCAGTGACAGTTGAAGGAGGGGGAGGTGGGGGTGGTGTTTTCAGCCCCCTTTCTCCCTCTCTCCCGTCTTCCCTGGATCTCTCCTCTTTCTTTCTGCACTTTATCCAATGAAAGAAGGCGAGTTCGGGAGGTGAAAGTTCAACAGAAGGACAAACCCCTGTTTGCAGGGAAACAGAAACCCGCCAGCGATGGGGTTTACCCCCTGTATTCCTATATCGGGAGAATGTAATGTGGGACGAGCTCCCCCCTCCACCTTCCTTGTCAGACTCACTGCTGGAATGTGTAGTTTGATCCACTTTGGGGGGAAAGTGGCTGCCGCATCAGGAGCTGTGTTCTTGCCACGGTTTCTCTTAGGAAAACGCCCAGGGGCTAGCATGTCAATCAGTTGTTTAACACAAATTACCTGCTCTTCCAGAGATCAGTCACATGCAAAAAACTCTATCCAATTCTTTGAAAAGGTGAGATTTTTTTTTTCTTTTTGCTGTTTTGAAGTTTGGTGGAATTTAGAAATTTGAAGAAGTAAATTAGAAGCCTGAATGAAATGTTTTAAAATATACATATATTTGTATAAAAACAAGACACTGGTATCTCTTTCCTCTTTAACAACACAAATTGAGAAGGAAGACTTCTTGTTTCCAAAATGTGACTTAGAGATATAGGGTTCTATGGCTTGTTGTTGTTAACAGAAATAATTTTTTTCAGACCCGTCACCCCAGAAGCTGCCAAACTCCTAAGCCAGCATTTCCAGCTACTGGCTGGCTGGTGTATCAGGCCAACTCTTAATGAGAATGTATTGAAAGCCACTCCTGTGGATTCCTACAAAGTACCTTTGGGGAGGGGGGGCAAGTTCTGTTCCATTCCTTGAGACCAGCACAATTGTAGATAATAAACATCCTGAAAAGGTTATTATAAATTGTTATGGATAATGTCTTACTACAAATATCGTTACACATTCATTTACAGAAGAATTCTAAATCTCAATTGCAATAATAGTGTAAGACTACCACTTTAAAATTGTATCTGTTTTGCAAGCAAAAAAATAAAGCCATTCACCAGTGCTACAGTATAAAGCCAGAGAAAGGGAGACTGTGCTAAGGTAATTCCGGCATAAAATTCACGTTGAATGCATGCTATACAAGATTCTATGCTATCCAGACAAGACCATCTATTGGATCTTTTAGACTAGAGTCTAGATGAAGAAAATGCATTTTAGTTTGTGTAGAACTTCCTAGCTTTCTAGAGACTAGGGTTCCTATTAATCTTTGATTCAAGACATCAGACATTTTGACATACCGTCTATGTTCTAGACCATATAGTAGACAATGAAGACTGCAAAATTAAAACCCCTGCCCTTGAGGAGCTCACAGTCTACAACTGTCAGTAATAATATCTAATATTTATTGAATGCTTTCTATGACCTAGGCACTGATGAAAACTTTAGGTCAAGTCAATTCATAGTTGCAACAATCCTTTAACATCTCTGGAAATTCCATATGCTGAACTCATGTGAAATTAAGTGGAAATCTACAAAGTAGCCAGTCTATGGCAGAGAAAACTGTTTTCCATTTCCAAAATGTTTATACCAGATACAACATGGTTATGGTGTTTGTTGAGTTGCAGAATTATAACTCAGGGAAATAGCAATTTATTTAAATGAGACAAATTTATTCATAGTCTGTAAAGAACAATTCATGCTCTGATCCTGTTTTCCAGATTGTATGGTGAGCTTTAAAAAAAATTGTGAGTATTGCCATATTAAAAAGATCTTTAGGTTGCTACTGATCTTATTCTGCATTTTAACTGCCTTAAATTCTACGTTCACTTGAAAGAGGGGCCCAAAGTCAGATTGGCAACAAGTTTTGCAGACAAAAGGAAATCCTGGTTGTAAATCCCATGATATATTGTACTCAATTTTGTATATAATACTGTCTAATGTGCCACCTTATTAAAGAACTCCGTGTCCATTTGGCTTACATTAGGGGGAAACTTAACTGCAGCTTTAACATATTGTTCATTTTCAACACTGTCACGTTACATTCATAGGGAGCACATTTTAATTTCTTTATCTGTAATCAACTGGAAGTTTCTTTTTGTTAAATTAAAGCAAGAAGGGTTTTTTAAATAAAGGGCATGGGGGTAGGACGCCACCTTTTGGTCGTAAAACAAATAGAAATCCCCTTTTCAACAGATGTTCCTGACATAACTTCATTTTAATTACACCAAGGCAAAGGTGTTTGTCCCCATTTCACTATATTTGACGTAACAGGAAAAAACAAAACACTGTAAAGGGAAATTAGCAAACTATATGTAACTGCAGCCAGAATTTCCTTAAAGAGATCGGACCACATTTGTGCCCTGCCACACACTATTAGCTATACATCAGACACCAACTTTGTTCTGCAAAGTCTTTGTCAATAAATACACACACATTTGGGGAACGGAAACAGGGTGGACATTTACCACTTAACAAGATACATGAGTGCTTTTGTGAGTCTAGAGTTGAACAGAAATTTTAAATTCGCCTAATTCAGTGTTTCTTGGTTACCATCCTCCTCATTTTTTGCCAAAACAGTCATTGGACTACAACTATTATGGTAAGTTTATTAAATATCTTCCTTTACGTTAACCTACTTTTTTCTCTATTACTTTTTTAAATGGGAACTCAGTATCGCCCTCCACAAATTAAAAGGAATCACAGTGAAAACAGTCATCGACTCCTTTGTTAGAAAGGGAGAGGGGCAAAAAAAAAAAAAAAAAAAATTACAAATTACAACCAATTTTTTTAAGGGAAAGTGCCAAATGCCAAAAGGGTTAATGACATGAGGGTCAGCAGAGAATTTTAACATCTCTGTGGTTTTTTTGAAAAGCTGTAACGATTGAAATTGATTGCAGAAGGAGTATAGTTCTCATGATGTGATTCAGTGTTATCTATTGCTATTCCAGTGGCAAGCCTCCTACACTTTGAGAAACAGGCATAACCAAGTATTTCAAATTACAGATTAGGAGACTGAGGCCCACAGAGGTTAAATCATTCTCCAAGGTCAAACAACTGGTTAGTAGACAGACAAGGATCAGAGTCCAGGTGTCCTGATTGGACACCTTAAGGAATTTCTCATCTTACACTTTCCACTTCACAATAGTGGCATGCCACCCATCCTGAGATATTATGCAGCCTGCCTCCCTTCTCAGAAACAGCCAACTACACACCCCTTCACAGACAGGGGAGAACCTGAGGCTATGGAGGGTAGAGATCAAATTCAACCCGCTACTCACTGTTCTTCTCCCCCAGGTATGGCAGACATCCAGATGAGGGTAACCACAGTGAAGAAAGTAGGGGAGGGTTGGTGGGAGAGATGGAGAGTAGGGGAAAGGGAGAGGTTAGTAGAAGCTGTCAGACTCTTAAAATGAATGCTTACACTCCAAGTTTCCTTCCTAGAAGAGAAGTATGGCAAATGAAAATGGTGTGTTTTGCAGTAAGAGGCATGAGAAGTATGTCCTCTGTTCCGATGTCACTAAATGTCCACACCAGAAATCAACAGACGATGTCTTGTTTTAAAGTATACAGTCTTACTAGACACGTTGAGACCAAGCACATTTAATAATTTGTGTGGCTTGAAAAGGTAGTCAAGGAATGGTGAAGACCTCTGTTTAAAGGGGGGTTTCCCCAACAACGAAATTTTTTCAGAAGGTCGGCATCAAAATTAGAGAGACAATATTGCATTTTCTGAGGTTTTAATCTCAGAGAGTGGACTTAGTGATTGCTTTTCCTGCTTTTCTTTCAAGGGCACAGTTCTGTAAACATCAAATAAACATGGCCTACAAATATTTTTAGGTTTTTTTAAAATTAGTCCTTGTGAAAAGAGGTTGCTGTTAACTATATTATACTAATTATACTGTATAGTATAGCTCTTTGCCCTATGGGTCCCAATGTAGTCCCTAGAAACTAAAATGTACAGTAAAGTATTTGGCCCAAGTACCTCTACTCCAAAAAGCTATTCTAGTCCCTTAACCCCTGGACGTTCACTGTGCAGCATGTTGGGAATTTTAAGGTATATAGAGGGAGTTTGAGGGGCTTAATCCTACCTCACCACAGGCACCAGGACAATCTACAGCCTTGCTGTGCAAGATGAGATGTGCCGATCTCTACCATGAGCACCACCTGACAGCATATTAAAAATGCAGAATCTGAGCCCCCTCCCTACACCTACTGGATCAAGATCTGTGTTTTAACAACTCTGCCTAGTTGAGTCTCACACATATGCAAGTCTCCTACAAGGCACCATCTCAACCTTTACAGCTTTAGAATACTCAACAGATAGTTCTTTAGAGTTGTCTACAAAACCTGGTTCTCCAAACTAGTGTCTTTTGTAAACTTCGTTGATTCCTTGTTTTTCAACCACTTGCAAAGTTAAGCCACTAAATCACGTATGTAAACCATGATTAATTCCTTTGAAATTAATAGCAGGGTGACCTCTCTCCTGTTACCCCAAAGAGACTGCTAATTGCCCTCCAATTGTTTATCTTTGTATTGTTTGATGAGTGCTCAGGGAAAGATG